AGAGTCTTAAGGTGTCATGCAAGACTGGATTTAATAAAAAATACAAGATAAACTTATGTATTCCACCTACACTAAACAAAATATAAAAAAATTGATAATCTATGCAAAATTAAGTATAAGTAGATCGATAGCGACTCTACTACCAGTCCATAAACAGAGAAAAACTCATCAAGAATCCAAGAAAAACACACAATAATTAATCAAATACATAATCAAGTAAACAGGTGCCCCAAAACTTCTTAATCTTTTTGTCTAACACAAAAATTATATCAACCCAATAACACAAAAAGGAAAACCCAGTACTAAATTTAATGGGGGGAAAAATCACAGCACACCCAAAATACAAGAAGATATCTTCTTTTTCATCCCTCAAAAATAATAAGAAAAAAAATTTTCATATACAATATATACCATCATATCTCTCAGCTTGCTCTGCAAGCCTAGCCAAGTAAACTTGCTGCTCTCTCTCCTTCTCCTTCTCCTTCTCCATTCCCCTCTCTCCCTACTTTCTCTCTCTTGCGTTCTGCAAGTGATGAGGATGATTCTCTCTCTTTCTTCACCTTTTCTCTCTCTAAAAATGAAGACTTTTATGTTTTTGCGGCGGTAACTGTTTTTTTGTGCTTGCGTACAATGGACAGTTAAAATCTGCGTTGGATTGTGAGAGGACAACCTCGGTGAAATCATAACCATTGAATTCTGGTTTGGAAGAGAAGAGCCGTTGGATTGAGTTTGGCAGACGTTAAGATTTAACCAAAAGCTGTCTTGTCGGTCACATGACTAGAATCAAAGTTGCTCACTTTCCAACTTTGCATCATGGAAAGGGTAATTAATCCCCGACCTTGTCCACGCATTATAACACAGGCCACTGTAGTCATTACATCATTTCTGAATTAGTCTTTACTTTTTATTATTATTGTACCAAATGTTCATACTTTTTATTTTTTGATATTTTTATTTTTAATTACACATTTCATTGCTCAAAATACCATTTTCATCCAAAATATCAATTAAATGTAATGGTATTTTCAGTCTTAAAATTATTTTTTTCTTTCTTTCCATTTTGAAGCCATTTTTTCTTATGTTTAGGCAAGGTTGCTAGCAGAAGCCAGAGCTGTAGAAGATGCTCAAAGGCAAGCGGAAGTAGAAGCCGAAGGCATTGCTCAAGGTCTGATGAACTTATGTTATCACATAAATCGGAATTGTTTGGCTTTTCCTCCATCCCTCCTCCATTCTTAACCCTAAACTCCTATTATTTTCTAGACTGAGAAGACTGTTGAAACCAATGAAAATTCTCAGTTTCTTGAAGATCTGGAAATGCTGAGGGTTGTCCTTCCTGAGTAATTACTCTTCATATAAATGAAAATATACACCCACCATTTTCCCATATGTCATCCCCCATTGAGACACAAAATAGTATAAACAGATAATACACAAATTCTTCAAAACAATTCACTCAAAACCCAATAATTCTCTACATAATTCAACCCAAAACTGGGATTATCCTCGTAGAAGTGTTCGGACGGCCTGAAACATTATCGGAATTATCTTTTTTTGAAATGGGAAGTATGAGAATCGATGCCATCAATGCCAAAAACCTGGGAATTGGTGTAGNTTATTATTATTGTACCAAATGTTCATAATTTTTATTTTTTGATATTTTTATTTTTAATTACACATTTCATTGCTCAAAATACCATTTTCATCCAAAATTTCAATTAAATGTAATGGTATTTTCAGTCTTAAAATTATTTTTTTCTTTCTTTCCCATTTGAAGCCATTTTTTCTTGGATCTTGAAAACCAATATTGTTTGTATGATCAGAGAAGGCAAGGTTGCTAGCAGAAGCCAAAGCTGTAGAAGATGCTCAAAGGCAAGCGGAAGTAGAAGCCGAAGGCATTGCTCAAGGTCTGATGAACTTATGTTATCACATAAATCGGAATTGTTTGGCTTTTCCTCCATCCCTCCTCCATTCTTAACCCTAAATTCCCATTATTTTCTAGACTGAAGAAGACTGTTGAAACCAATGAAAATTCTTAGTTTCTTGAAGATCTGGAAATGCTGAGGGTTGTCCATCCTGAGTAATTACTCTTCATATAAATGAAAATATACACCCCCCATTTTCCCATATGTCATCCCCCATGGAGACACAAAATAGTATAAACAGATAATACACAAATTCTTCAAAACAATTCACTCAAAACCCAATAATTCTCTACATAATTCAACCAAAACTGGGATTATCCTCATAGAAGTGTTCGGACGGCCTGAAACATTATCGGAATTATCTTTTTTGAAATGGGAAGGTGGTGTAGGATAATTGTTTCAATATCGAATATCAGATTTTTACAGACTGGATATCGTATAATAAATTGTACATATAAAAAATCCAACGATTTGTTGATTGCAGCAAAAATAACAAGTAATTTAACAATATGAAAATCGAGTAAAAACAAATAAAACAGTATAACACTTTTAACCCAAGGCATGTATCAAACACAGTTTCCTTAAAACAGATTCGCCCCCTCACCGTACGTGCTTGAGGATAGTACGAGCGTCTGCTTCCCAGGATACAACGGAGGAACCAGTAAAATCCGAGCACAACAGACTCTACTTCGGTGAACTGACTCTGTGTCTGAAATATATCACCACCAGAGTCGAACAGAAACGAAAAATGCAGAGAAACAGGAACTGTGTGCAGATGAATATGCAGATGAATATTTTCGTGTATGGACAGTGGAAAAACGAGACATATATAAAGACTAACTCTTGTAACCTGTCCATTAACAAATGGTAATTAACATAGGATTTTCAGGAGTTTTGGAAAATTAAAAGTCTATTGAAAAAATTAAAAAATGTAGCAAAACGTGGACACTCCTAAGGGGCCAATTTTGTTCCTTTCGGTCCGACATTCGTGTACGCAAGTTGCGCTCACACACAAGTTCAAGGTCCGACGCCAATTTCGGTCCAAGATTTGCACCCCCTGCGCGTGCACGTGGAGAGAGCCTCTATGCTACACATGATTATACCATTCTAAAGTGCAATCCTTTATAAAGTTGTTTTAACTTTCATCCACTTCCTATGTGGGACAAAGTTTAAAAATTTATTTTCCCACCAACAAACTCCTTTCAAATGGCATACTTTGAGTTTCAATTTCTCATTCACTCGAGTATAATTTTTGACAAGTAAGTATATGATTTCGATGTACTCACGGAGGAGAACACGAATCAACTTTCATCTTTCAAAATAGTCAAGCGGGTCTCGCTCAAAATTAGTGCCAAAGTCAACCATTTATCCAGTTTTTCCAACAAGTGGAGGAGGGGAAGTATGAGAATCGACGCCATCAACGCCAAAAACCTGGGAATTGGTGTAGAGTTCGTCTACCTTTGGCTCTACCAAGAAAATAACACCCAAAATCGAGACATTTTGAAAAGAGAATCAATGGCAGAGATAACAATAACCATACCTATCTTCTTAATTTGCCTTTGTAAATTTCAATTTCTCAAAGAAGCAGATTGTTAAGATTGGTTTTCAAAGGTTTAAACATAAGAAAAAAATGGGTTAAATTGGATGGAAATTGATGAAAAAGATATTTTGTGCAATTAAATGTGTAATTAATGATAAAAATATAAAAACGGAAAGTATGAATACTTTGCACAATAATAGTGAAAGATGAAAACTTTTGTGCTAATTACCCTCTTGTGAATATTTCATTATTGATCATCAATCTTTAGAATTTCGATTGTGCTATATGATTTACATAATAGTTTATATACATATGATATAATCAAATACGATTGGATCAAAATAAAAAAAATAATAATAGTAATAATAATTCTCCATTGTCTTTTTTATTCTACTTTTCATTTATCATATCATCTATCGACACATAGACTGGGGTTGCAACCTCAGTGAGGCTACGTAGCATTACTCAAACTATTATGTAACTTCATTATGTATAAGTAGCATTATTTTTAGAATTTATATCAAGGTGGTTCTCAATTCCATATTCCGTATAACATAGAACAAAACGGTACTCATCTACCTTAATTCAACCAGAACAATGATTTTTAATTTACAACAAATAAAATAAAATAAAATATTGAATTAAAGCTAATAGGAGAAATATAAAATTTTGAAAAAACAATTTTGTCCAAACCATTCGTTCTACGATGAGGAGGAATTAATGACACAACACACAGATTTTTCCCTTCAAGCATAGTAGTGAGTCTACTATCTCACCAAACATTCGTGGTGAATTTTAACAACTCTACGAGATTTCCTTTATGAACTGGAAAAGAAGATCCGACATTAGTTTGTAGCAAATATTAACCAAACATACCTCACGTGTAATGGAATGATTGATGCATGTTAAGTTCAAAAAACAAAAAAAAATTATTTTTCATCCCCAACTTTTACGAAATGTGACAAACTTACCATCAACTTCTTTCTTTTCATGGTTTAGGGATTTCATGGTATTTAAACTCTTTTGTTTTCATTTTGAACGGTGGATTATTATTATTATTGAAATCAATATAACCATGAGAGTTTATTTCATTCTTGATCGTGATTCAGTATCTGAGTTCTTGAATCTTTATCAGTGTGTTATTTTGTTTTGATGCAGAATCGACCTGTTCAGTGACTTGCATTTTGCAGGAATCAGTCGAAAAATAGACTAAACTCTCTCTCTCTCTCTCTCTCTTTTACCAGTTTAAAAATGACAATTCATTTCATTAGAAAATTATACCTTTTGCCATCATGCTGCTCAACTGTTTCAATAAATCAGCTCTCCATCGAAAACTTGCAGAACAGAATCAAGAATCGTGTGAGGTCGAGAGAAGACGAGAAAACCGTAGGCAATAGGCAGTTAATGCATTACAGAATGAAATTCACAAGCAGGCATCGGTTAAGAGCTATACATAGATTTAAACCCACTGTTATTTTCCGGTTCTTGGACTGTCAAAACAAATTCTAATCTACATTACATCGAAATTGAACTAATTATTACAGCGGCCATACATAGAGCATTCTTTGCCACATCTTAAGATATAGAGCCCCACAAAGAACCCTAAATAGGCAGCAAGGAATTTCAAAAGAATAAACTCTGACCAACAATTGTCAATTGGTGATTCTGCAGTACCCTTAAATATATTTTAAAATGCTGCTATCATGTCCTGGGAGCCAAAAAAAGAGGGGGGGGGGGGG